GTTTAGAAAACTTCTCAATATATCAAGAGTTGGAGGGAGAATAGTTGAATGCCCAAACACCAATAGATGATCTCCTCAAGCTCTTGTTGAATTGAATCACAAAACCGAAACACTCAATTGCTTAAAAGCTTCTCAAACAAACTTAAACCAAACATAAACCCTTGTTAAAACTTTCTTAAACTTGTTTTAAAACTCTCTTAGTTGGTTTGAAAAGACATCAGCAATGGGGTATATATACCCACTCAAAGCTCAGCCAAAAAACCCCAAAACGAAATGACCAAAAACCCCAGCAAACAGCTCAGAGAAAGAGCCGTTAAAAAGCAACGGCTATATTGTCGGTCGACCGAAAATCCCGTCGGTCGACCGATGAGAGCAAAAACACGAAGAAAACATTCTGGACCATCGTCGGTCGACCGGTGCGGTCGACCGATGGAGTTTTTCGGTCGACCGGACCGGTCGACCGACAGACTCTCTGTCGCCCAGTGAATGATTGTAGACATGATAATAAACATGCTACAACGACTGGTTTCGAAAAAGGACTTCCCAAATGAAAAATATCATCATTTTACAAAATAGTCCAAAACATGAAAACCTGAAAATTGATATTTTGATATTTTGACTTAAACAACATTTTGAAACCTTATGAAATGATTGTATAGACTTGATAAAAGATATAACATGTTGTTATGAAGTCTATAATCTAGAAATACAATATTTTCATAAATTTGCATATTCTATGCAATATATTCAAAACACTAAATATGATTTCATTAAATATAAGCTTGTTAAAGGTGAAATCATATATAGGCATATAAACATGAAACAAAATAGTATTTTCCAATTCTATTCATTTGTTTCATAGTAAAACTTGAAAACTATCAAACCAAAACATATATGTATATATATAACTATATATATACAAAAACCAAAACGTGTATGTGTGTATATATTGAGCTTAACGTACTTAACACACATAATATAAATTCCTAAACTAAATTACCCAAGCAATCTTGATCTTCAACGAAGCTCTATCTTGGTAATCTTGCGGATGAAGCTTGAACTTGGATCTTGACTTGAATGTGCATTGCTTCACTCCACTATTCCGCCAACCTCCTCTTGATATGAACGTGTAGGCTCAATCCATCCAACCTCCAACAACGTTGTTTGTCTACAAAACATAGGAATGCACAAACACTAGACAAACAACATTAGTAATAAATTGTTTGTTAAACATCATCAAAACAAGAAGGCCAACAGAGGGATGTAGATTGAAGCCCAAACAAGATTGATGATCTTCTCAAACTCTTATAAAATTCTCTTCACAAACAAACTTTCAATTGCTTAAAAGCTTTTAAAACAAACTTAAACCAAACATAAACCCTTGTTTAAAACTTTCTTAACTAGTTTAAAACACTCTCATGGTTATGTAATGATAAATGCAATGAGGTATTTATACCCACTCAAAACTTTAGCCAAAACCCCACTAAAATGACACAAAAGCCCTCAGAAAAACAGCTCAGGAACTAGCCGTTACCAGCCAACGGTAAATTCTAAAAATATAAAACTTTGGGAAATGATTGTAGATATGATAATAAACATGCTACAACAACTGGTTTTCAAAAAAGACCTCTCAAATAAAAAATATCATCATTTTACAAAATAGTCCAAAACATGAAAATGTAAACATATGAGTTTTGACATTTTAGCTTAACCATATTTTGAAACGTTACAAAATGATTATATAGACTTAATAAAAGATATATATGATTATTATTAAGTCCATAAACCAAGAAAACAACATTTTCACAAAATTGCATATTTTGCAAACATTTCAAAAGTAAATAAACATGCTACAACAACTGGTTTTCAAAAAAGACCTCTCAAATAAAAAATATCATCATTTTACAAAATAGTCCAAAACATGAAAATGTAAACATATGAGTTTTGACATTTTAGCTTAACCATATTTTGAAACGTTACAAAATGATTATATAGACTTAATAAAAGATATATATGATTATTATTAAGTCCATAAACCAAGAAAACAACATTTTCACAAAATTTCATATTTTGCAAACATTTCAAAAGTAAATATGATTTCATAGAACTAAATAAAATTGATATTGATGAAATCATATATATGCATGTAAGTATGAAACAAAAATATGTTTTCTAATTATATTCAATTGTTTCATATTAAAACATTAACACTATTAAGCCAAAGCATATATGTATATATATAACTATATATATACAAAACCAAAATATGTATGTGTGTATATGATTGAGCTTAAAGTACTAACACACATAATATAAAACCTAAAACTCAATTTACCCAAGCTTGTGATCTTCAACGAAGCTCTATCTTGGTACACTTGAGGATGAAGCTTGAACTTGAATCTTTAACTTTGAATTGTGTAGGTTTCACTCCACAATTCCACCAACCTCCACTGGATATGATCGTGAATGCGTAATTCCATCCATCTTCCAATATATTATTTGTCTATAATAAATAGAAAAACACAAACACTAGACAAACAATATTAGTAGTAAATTATTTGTTAAACATCATCAAAACAAGAAGGTCAACATATATCAGTGATTTGAAGTACTCAATTCAAGAGAAGGTAGCCATCCACAAAATTATAAACTTGAAAACTATAAAACCAAAAACATATGTATATATATATATATATATCACTATATATATATATTGTTTTCAGCGCTGGGCTGAAAACAGGTCGGTTTTTGTAATTTTTTTCGAAATAGGTTGTTTTTTGCAAATAAAAACCCAAAAGGGTCTGTTTTGAAAATTTCTCCTGCAAAAAAAATTTGCGCTTAGTTGGGAAATATGAAGTATTAGAGGCTTTGTTGGGAACAGCCAAAAGTATCTAGGATTTATTGGAGGATGAAGATTGAAGGGTGAAAATGGAAAAGGAAGAGAAAATTATGGCACGAAAGTTATACCTCTCATAATGACTGGTTATTTGAACTCATGCAAACAAACTAAAAATTCCGATCTAGGTTACGGTATGAATAGATTAAGAAAAAAAAGGAAATTCTATGGAAAGAATAATATCATACGTAACAAGTTGATTATAGAATTGTACCCATTTCCAAAAATAAATTTCTATACTTTTAATGATATCATATCTATAAGACCTAGATTTCCATCAAAATTAATTGACGTAAAATATTGATGAGTTATCAAGGACTCACAACTTTGGATCTAGCAGTGTTAAAGCAGTTCGAAAAGTACAGTCTAGCTATCACCAATCTTTAGCTAATAATTAATGGGCTTTCATGCTTAAAAAGTTGAGAAAGATTTGAATAGACTCGAATTCAGGATCATTCAATACATTTTCTACTTTGGTTATCTAGCCTAGCTTTCAATGGAGGAGGAAGAATAAATATTCAAGTAGTCAATCCCAAAATTTAGGGATCAAAGTTTTTGTTATTACTGAACTCGTTCATCTAACCCACTTGCTTTAGGGCTTGTTTGGATTGAGGGGAATGAGGGTGAAGGGAAGTTAGGGGAACCATTCACCTCCATTCATCTTGTTTGGGAACACTTAGGAGGTGAAGTTAATTCACCTCCATTCACCTTGGTTCACCCCCTAATAGTATAAAAATTGTTACCCCCCAAATTGGGGTGTAACCAAGGGGAAGAGAATTCACTTCCCTTCCCTTCCCTTCCCTTCTCTTCCCTTCACTCAGTTTCCCTTAACTTCCCTTCACCCCCTACGAATCCAAATAGGCCCTTAGATGTCTGCCCACAAATTGATGAGACTTTTTCTGTTGCATTATACTTCGTGCTACTATTATGTTTTGCTTCTGCCTGACGATATACATGAACGGTATACATAATTCATTCATCAATAACTAAAAACTGTCGGATAACTTGCTTCGAATTTAGAGACATTCTTCGAATTTAGAGACATTCTTCAAATCATCAACAAGTAAACAATCTCAAAGTCCACAAATACTGAAAATGTGTCCCTACTATGCACATTTATAAGTTATGTAAACTTATATTTGCTGGCAATTGCTCCTCCTCAAAATCATTTCTAAAATACAGTCGGAACTTGTGCAAATATTACTTATAGTTTTCAAATAGGACAAATTTTAAAAATAAACGAACTTTATTTGGGAAAATCGACCCATTTGCAATTTACTCGTCATTTTTGACCTAATGTTAACCAACTGACTAAAATTGTATCGAAAATAGCGAATAAAACTTTACGGAATTTTAAATTCCCGTGAAGTTTAGTGTCTAATTACCCAATCTAATCGTGATTAGACTGAATAATTTAGCGAGTAAACTTCATGAGATTTAGAATCCCGTGATATTTGTGAGATTTATTTACCATTTTCGACCCAGTTTCAACTAAGTTCTGGGTCAAAAATGATAATTAACTCTCAAAGGATCAATTTTTACAAATAAAATTCTAATAGTCTATTTTAAAATTTTGTCCTTTCAAATAAGGTCAAATGATATTACCACCGCTACCAAGGGTGGACAAAATATTTGTGCGTCCGATGGAATATCCCTACTAATATCCATTAGGATACGGTTATGTTTTACTAAAATCCATAAATGATAAAATATTGTTACGGGTATGATTTTATGGTGAAATGTCTGAATCGGTCTATAAAATATCCAAATAAATAGTAGTCATGCTATTGCGATGGTTTTAATCCTTAGATCAATGGATCTAAGATCAATTTTGATGATATCTAATCTTAGGTTTTTAGATATAATGAGCATATTAATGAATTATCTTGTATCATATATTATATTAGCATGCATATCATATTCATATCCGAATTTAGCATATATGGATATGAATTTTCTTTAACGAGGCATATCTATATCTTTACCCGTGATTGGTAAGCATATATGAATATAATAAGTATCATATCCGAGTACCATCCGGACCATATGCACCCCTACCACTACCTGTTCCGGTATGAAGAGCAAAGTCCAAATACAGTACATAGTGTTCAAGCTTGCTTGCTAACTTATTCAAGATCAAATGAGACAGCTCGATGATCTTCTGTTCCCTTAAATTTTTCTTATTTACATTTTGATCAAATATTTCAACAGGTTTCTTTAAAGACCATTCATGTATACAAATTATTACAGAATATGAGAAGGAAAAAAAACAAAGAACTGGAAGCTGCTCAATATCAACTTGCTCAGATGCAGCCTGCAGAGATTACTCCATAGAAATTATAAGAAGCAATAACAGACAGGATTGGAAGATAACCTTAAATTGCCTATCAGGAGGAATAAATAATCTCAAAAACTGATTAAAAGAATAAATCGTACCGAATGCACTTGGAAATTTAATTACGACTGCAATGCCGAACATGGTTTAATGAATCATCGCAGGCAACTTGTCGTCCTCTTCAACAAATTACTGGACCTGGCCCATATTTCAGTTCAGGCAGCTGTTCAACTCTGATAGCACATATAACATACTTGGTTACAGCTTGCATGCAATAATGATTTCATAACTATACAGATGAAATACAACATAAAAAGATAATTCAGTAACATGCACATAAATTTATATGGTGTTACATCATTACCCAGCAGTAAGCAACCACTGAAAGATGCCATGGACTAGGAGTTGGTTATAGGCTACACAGTGACATGCTACTCAAGAAAGATTCTGGACACTCAATTGACCAGATTGCATCTCAACTTGATGTCAATGTTTCCTGGTGTTTGAAAATCAGTGGAAGTTTCGGGGAATTCTGCTGATTGTGTAATGATGATTGGGGAGTTTTCAGTTACTCTAGGACTGTCATTGACTTTGGCTCATATGACAGAATTTGTGAGCCTTATCAAAAGGGTAGAATAGTGACGGGACCCATGTGTCCAGTTTAGCTGAAGCAGGGTCCAGGAAAGTGCTTGAAACATGGGTCCAATAAGCTAGAACAGTCTCAGGGACAATATTGGCCTACCAAAAAAATTTTGAGAACATAAGATGACATTGGATTTAAAAGAAGCAATTTGGGTCAACTCTGAACCTTATATATTCTTATGTGTTATATATGACTTCAAATTTTGGAAGAAGCTGAAGGTGCCGGAGATGGTTTCTAGCATCTGATAGAGTTCTGAATGTTGTTTTACTTATATGCTGCTAAATTTGATCTTAACTCTTATTAAATAAGAGGCCTAAATCGTCTAAATCCAATCATGTGGTTACCAAGAGAATTATGTTGACTTGTTAAAAGGCCAGAAATAAGATGGAGATATACTGCATCATAAAAGTCAATACTTCCTTAATTAGACGGACACTCTCACTACCGGAGGCTCCTGCTTGTGCGAATGCAGCCACAAAGAGTGCATCAGGAGCATCAGGCGTGACTCAAAATGATCTCATTGGAGAGTTTCAACATCATGAGACATCCAAGGGTATGTAGAATGCATCACAATTCACAAGTCAACGAATCTTTAGTTATCCTAATGCTTTAGCATGAGTATGTAGCTCTACTTCTTGCTAGTGCTATCCACTTGTGGGTTATTGTAAAACCCCATAATACTGAATGTTGTGAGATATAATAATAAACATGTTATATTGGGATAAATAACGTTTATTGATATTTGAGTATGTTAGGAATTGATTTGAGATCAATCCAATACATATATATGAATATATGAGTGCAAATGCACAAAACATGCACGAGAAAAAAATCTAGGAAAAATGACCAGTTAAGAGTTTATAGATTTTACACAACGATGCACTTAGAATCTGGGAAAACTCAAAATACCAAAGTTGTAGGTCTTTTCAAGGGCTTTCCAACAAATCTTATATCACCTCATTCCGAGATCGGACGCGAAAGTTATTGCCAAAATACCGAAAGTTATTTTCCTAGTCAGACTAGGTTTCCTGGTTCGAGTTAAACGGGTTTATTTCGGGTTTGCATATATATATACTTATGTTTTCACGAAAATTATCACCCTTATATCAGAGTTTCAAACCCTAGCAGTCCCTATTCCTCTCTCTAAAGCCCTAACCCTAAAATTGATAATTTTGAGAGCTTTGTGAAGCAAATATCAACACAAAGGACGAGATCATCAACGTGTAGCAAGGAGAAAACGGGTTGTTTGCACTTCTAATTGCTTGCTGTTTATCTCAGAGGATTAGAACGACATTTGAGGCAAGATTATCTTCATCCCAACCTATCCCTATAGTTAAATATCTAGTGTAGATGATTAATATGATATTGAATATGTGTTTTCATGCTTTAATCTTAACCTGAGATGTTAAAAGTCAGATTTTTTTTTTTTGATAGTAAACCATAAAATAAATGCTAGATGAATAATCTTTTCTTGCTGTTTATGATAGTATCATGATCATGATCATTAGTGTTTTTCATAATTTTATTCATATATGAGAAATTTAAGTGATGTACTATATATATGTTTTTCTGCAGAAAACTGCAGCACTTATATAATATTTAATTGAGTGTTTAAGATAGCAAACAAAGTCCAAATTTAACCAAACCAGTTTTATATGAAAGCTATATGTATCTAGTTTCTAAAACAGAAAACCATTCTTAAAAAGAGTTTGTATAGAGAAAGATATGTTATGTTTACTAACATGTCCTGCAGAAAAACGGCTGCACATATATAATGTTTAACTGGAGATTTGGGATAACAAATAAACTCCAAACTGAACCAAACTTATGTCATTTGAAAGATGTGTGAATCTAGTTTTTAAAACAGAAAACCATTTGTAAAAATAATTTTCCTAGAGAAAGATATGATTGTTTTACTAACAGATGTCACGTCTGTTTTTCCTGCTCGTTTTGTGGAGCTGTGTTGCGCCGTTTTGAGGTGCGTTCGCGGAGTTTTGAGCCGCTTGATGTTATATGTATAGTCATGAATATATTATGTTATACATTTAAGAATTCCAAGGGGATTATGATGAATTTTGATTTGATCATATTTGGATTAGATATAATTCATATACATGTTGGATGTCGTTGATGAGCACAGCTTAGTACTATATGGGATAGTACGTCGACACACCGGATATATATAGTTTATACATGAGATGGATATTGTTGATGAGCTCAGTTCAGTACTACATGAGGTAGTGCGTCGATATTCCACATGTACAGGCCATTGAATCGGATTTTAGAAGGCTTGATCTAGCCGCCCGTCCCGCACTAGGGTGCGATGAGGCTCGTGAGCCGTATTTCTAGGATGCCTATTTGGTAGTCCGTCCCGCACTCATGTTATGCACTGAGATCGCGATGAGACTAATGAGCCGTGTACACAGTTCAGGATACCTATAGGGTAGTCTGTTGTACTGAAACAATTACTTGATAACCTAAGTATGACAGATGCCGATTATGAATACGATCTATTATTGAACTATATAACTGAGATACGTTACTTTTGAAAGTATACAAAATTATGTATTGGTATTTTTATTCTATCTCTCCAGTGATTATGGAAGATATTATAAATACGATGTGTTGATATCTTATTTCTTTTACCGTCCTTTTTACTTCTTAGTTGGGATCAATGATTAGAGATTCACAATTTGAGACTTATGGTATATACATGAGGGTTTTCTTGTTTGGATTATTTCGCTCGACGTACCAGTCTCGTGTTATGAATTTCTAATTATTGGTTTTATTAGATTGTCTTTTCTTAGCTCGGTATTAATGTTTAGATATCTACAATTTGAGGCTTATGATATATACATGAGGGTTTTCTTATTTGGATTATTTCGCTCGACGTACTACGTCTCGTGTTGTAGGTTTCTAAATGTTAATCCTACTTAGATACGGGGAAAATAAATTTAGGTAGACTATGCTTAATAGATAGAGCTTTCACTCCATCTAGTAGCCCTTTCACTGGGGGCGGATGGAGGTAATCTTGCTGTAGCGCTCTGACGCTCTTGTTGTTTCTTTTTCTTTTAAAAATACTCTTTCAGGTAGCTCGGAGTTCCGGAGAGCCGCAGGGTGACGGAGTTCTGACATAGTCGTCGTCGCGTATTTTTTACTTGTAAAGACTCCACTGTATTTTTGAGTTTTATCCAGACATTAGAGTTTCATATTCATATTGTAAAGACAGTGTGCCTTAGTACGATTCTTAGTTGATTCATGTTGAGACATTTTTATTATTCAGATATCAGATGTATTATAGTTAAGACATGATTCTTTTCATTAATGAGATATCTCTTCTATATCATGTCTATTACATTTATTCCCTTTATTTTACCTGTTTGTACCTGCACTTCTATTTGGTTCTACTAGAAGATATTACTGTGATTGGTGAAACATGTTTATGCACAGTGTGGGTGCATGGCAGGTTTGACATCTCTGGTTTCACCTTGGACTGCAGCCTTGTGTGAATCCAGGGGCGTCACAGTTATTACCTCAAAGTCGTATAGATCATGTAACATTGGTTAAAGATGGATTCGTAGAGTACCATCTTGTTTAAAGCGCAATGTCATCAGCATCACAATTACAATTACAATTAGCAACTTGATTTTAGAGATAGGGAGACTTCACCCCTCGTGTCATGCAAGTATGGTACACATCCTAAGAATATTAAGGAACAGTGTTTTAAAAATCGACTGATTTTATCAATTTATCATCGATATATCAAGTTTGGGCTATGGCCGATACAATTTATGCAAAAAAATTATCATATATCATTTTTTACCAATTTCTCCGGATATATCGATGTAAATCCAATGAACCATTCAATTACTTGTGGACTAAACATCACCCAATTTTCTAAAATATACATTCTAAGTGAACATGTTTGGGTTTGGAAACAAAAACATTCTTTTTCACATACTCGACCAGCATCCGATATACAAAAACAATGCTATCCTATTCTACTCCACATCCGCTCATCAGGTAACTCTAATTCTCTTCGCCTCCAATTCTCTCCCCCAAATAGCTCGCAAATTTCACTCAAAGAATTTTGTCGACAGCCTCTCTTGAAGACCCTCTATCTAAGCTCAATGACCCTCCCGAAGCTCCTCAATTCTCAAGCAAAGACCCTCGATCGTCGAAGACCCTAAACATGTGTTATTTACATTTTGGTATGTTTATATTTCATTAAATATACTTGTATTACATTTTAGGATATTATATTATACTATCCGATATAACACTTTGATTTTTACTACTTATTCCTGATATATCTCCGATAACCACAATCCGATATGAATTTTGGTTGTTTGATGTATTTCTGATAATTGATATTAAAACCCTACTGAGGAATCATCTTTTTGTTTCTATCCTTATGCATCTTCGTTTTAGCATTGAATTAACTAAGAATAATGTTATGTTAATATAAGTTTTGAACTAGGTTTTTTCTTTTTCTTTTTTCTTTTTCTTTTTGTTGTTTTTTTCGCTTAAACAACTAGTATTTCTAGATGCTAATAGCAAGGTATTTGTCTTTTACAAATTCTGCAAATTATGTGAATGATTCTAAGAGCATGTTTAGGAACTTTGGACTATAATCCGCTAAGATTATAATCCCAGTGGATTATAAGATTATAATCTCGTGTGTTTGGTAAATTTAACAGATTATAATCCATTTTTAATAGTACAGTGTTTAGCAAATGGGTGGATTATAATCTATCAATGTCGTCAAACTGACCAAAAAGGACATTGGGTTGTTGGTAAATTATAAAATGAGGCCTTGAATTTTGTGAAATCATTAGGGTTATAATTGTCTTTTACTTGGTCACATCTCATGGTTTAAACTCCACCAAAAAGTAAGCCAAAATAAGTCACTTGTCAAACATCTCAAAGTGGCTTATAAGCCACTTTGACCATTTGCCAAACATGTTCTAAGATATAGCATGCTATAAAAAGAACATAAGGCAAGCTCGACTAATTCAATTAGCTCGAGGTGATCTTCTAGGTTTCTGAGCAAACTAATATTCCAAGGAATATTTCAGTTTCTTGTACAAATACATGGATTTGTAAATATATTGAAAACACAAAAATCCGAACATAATTTATAATTATAAACTCAAACTAATATATCCATTTAAGAACTTGAAAATATGTTACCAATATGAGTATAGAGAAAGAAAGACGAGGAGACGCGATGTTTAGATGATTGTGTACCTTTGCCTAACTTTGAGAATTCCTGTTCCCAGCTGCATTGGTATGCCCATTATGATACATTCAGATACTCCTTCAATTTGGTCATCCCTGTGATTAAATGATGCATTGAACAGGTGCTCTGAGGTTTTTTCAAATGATGCCAACATCAAAACACTGTCTTTCATCTTCGTCATGCCAAATCTCGTGATCCCGAGCACTTCACCCTGATGAAAACAGTCACAACAAGAAACAAACATGAAACCTAAACAATTGAGCTTAAATAACAATTACTTACAATGTAGAATTTATAAATGAACATATACAGATATGATAATGATGTTTACTTTATAAGTCATCACATCAGCGAGCAGCATCATGTGACGAGCATCAATGCTCATTCCATGACTTTTCATAGTATCTTGTATTTCGCTTATGATACTTTGTCTTGCAGCTTCGATGCCCAGCGTCTGCCAAATTTCCATGATATGATTACTCTTTGTTTTACTTGCATCAACACCAGGAGTGCCCATAACTGCTAAAAGGTTCGTACTGCAAAATTAAATCCACAGCTTCACCTTTTTCATTTCATTTAAAAACATAATTATTCAAACAAATGCAAGTAGAAAGCTCATTATGGTCATTTGCTCCAGGGTTTCCTTCAACATATGTAGTTTTCTAATTTCATAGCTTAGGACATGATAAGAAAAATAAATGAAAACCAACAAAATAACTACAACAGAAAACGTGTATTGGGTCAAATGCTACCTATTCATCATTACACAGGAACTCCTGAAAAAAAAAATCATATTCTTTCTGATTTCTGGAAGAATGGAAATAAAAATGCATTTGTCTGCATGAAAACTAACCCTTCAACCAGTAGATTATATTTTCCTCTTTGACAATTAATAACAGCACGATCCACCGTTGAGATGCCCTGCGAATCAAATTTATGATATGAAGACAAATAATTAGAAAAATATAAATGGTTAACTCTAACCCACAAACGACCTAATACTTGAAATTTCAACATTTCGAGTCTATCTATAATTTCACACCTTCACGATGACCTTTGGAAGGATGGACGTCAAAGAGTGCAGTTCAGAATTTAATCTACTTCCATCTTTGTTATCTCCTTTAGCATTTCGCCCACGAGGGAAAATTCTCAAATTACCTTTGCCATGGAATGTAATATCCTGCAAGAATATTAAACATCACAAATACCATTAAGGGCAATATAGGAGACGACTATGATGAACTATCCTCACCTCTGCTTTTAATTTAAGATTTCGATGATTCACAATTGAATTCTTAATGGAATCAAGAGAATCTTCCATATGCAATGTTTTAATTCGCTCCTTATCAAGTACAATAGAGATATATGGATGATTAGATTTGAGTACAGTCTTCACAGCTTCCGCCACCTGCACAACAGAGAGGTAAGGCCCATGTGGATCCGGAAAAGGCCCAAAAAGAATTCTACATGTGAAACTTTACAATTAGCAAAACTTCAGGGGACTTCTTGAATAGTTTACAAGACGAGTAAGCTGAAAGACAGGTAGAAACAAACATGCTGCATTCTTGAAACATTCTTAGGATTTTCCTCACAGTGCAACTTTTACTTGTGAAAAAACTTGTAGCTAATTTGGAGATGCAAAAGACATGACTATGCACATAGGTTTCATCCAGCTCTAACTGGTGACGCACCAACTGCGTCTGATATTGAGTTGGAAATTTCTGAATTGTGTGCATGCTAGTAGAAATAATCTATTAATTTCAGAATCATGAAGCTAAACCAGAGTTCATCAATAAGTACTACCTGCAGAGAATCTATTTTTGATTATTTTCTCCAAAAATACTTTGATTTAATCTTTGCTGAAAGTAACAGGTTATATAGGTAATGTATCGGACAAGAAAAAATCTCTGTCCAACAGATCATAAACACATGCATAAATTGGACAATTATTTCCCCAAATCGATCCTTGGGTGAGATTTTATGTTAAATGCATAAGGTCAGTCGCTGCTTAACGGGACTAAAAACCCCAAATAACAACATTGGACCTCCACCTAACTCAAGCACTTATTTGTGTCCCTTACTTTAAAAATAAGAACTACGTGTCCTTGAGATAAACAACAGATAAAAAGAATAAAAAATTACATCGCTCCACATACACAGTGTCCTCCATGTAACTGTAAAAACTACAAATGTAGACCAATGCATATCTTGAAAGAAGCAACATACCTCACCAAGGAGAGTTCTCTCAATTTCACTCTTCACTAAACGAGCAGATTCCTCTTTGTCATCACAAAAAAGTGTAGCAGTAATTATTGGTGTGCTAATATTTTTTGCTGCATTTATAATTTCCTTAATGCGAGGAACCCCAAGAGTAACATCTAATTTCCAGTTAAGAAAACGATTTTGATTTATTCAATGCATCTCAGTACTAAAATTACAAACCAGAGAAAGGAAAGAAACCTATCTTATAAGGACCATGAAAATGAAAAGGATTAACAAGTTTGCGAACATTTTTGTTATTAGGAAGAAAAAGAATAATCACCCAAATATATGGATTCTTCAGATTGAACATCTGGAAATTAGAATTGTCTGAGATCTAATAATAAATACAGAGAACAGATTAAAAAACACCCTACCTTTCATAGGGATAATGATAATTGGCCTTAGAAACTCTATCTAAACTACATAATTCTAAAGAGAAATGAGTAACGAGGTATGACTCGGGTAAGAATGCATGAATACGTGTGACTACGAGTGACCCTCAATGTGCAGTTATACTCTCTAAAGCTCATGACATCGGACAAATATATACTTCAATGTGCTAGAATGCATATGTTTTCTAATTTCATGTGATGCTCATTTCACGCAAGAAAAAAACAAATACACAGCAAACTAAGTTACATTCTGTCCAACTGTTTGCGAACTGTGCTATCAAACAGTATAATAGTCACCAACTATCTAAAGATCACATATATCGAAAATCGAGATTATGGCAATCTTAAAATAAAGTGATTTGGGGTTTAACAAATTTCAGTCCATTAATGATACACTAAATTGGATAAGTATTTTCTTTTGTCCAAATTCCTCTGTTGCTGCAACGCACATGTTTCTTATTCCCAATAGACAATAAGTACGACAAAACACCAAAGCATAGAAAGAGGGGGGAAATGCAATTTTACATGGAAGTCGCAATTTTAAATTCAATCTTTCTTTCTGATGTGGCAGTACAAAAATGATAATAGCACAAAACAAGAACTAAAAGAGTTTTTTGTCAATATAAATCTCTGTTTTATTATTAGTTTATAAAATAGGATCCATGGTGTACAAGTATCAAACTATGCGCTTATATCATGAAGCATGTTATATCAAGCACACATAAAACACAAATATTGGACGCGATAGCGCTCTTTTCTTTGTACTTTTTGACTTCGTCTTGTGTTAAGATGTCACATTTTGAGCCACATCTGTGTCAGTGTGACTAGCCCTGCTACATAACCATAAAATGGTAGGGATGAGTGTTGTGCACCAGTCAGGGTTTTAAATGTCGGATGTTGGGTTCATGTCGGATGGCTAAAATCCATGTCGGATAGCGGAAATCGAGGATATATCGGGGGACATTGACTAAATATCAGATTGCCATATCGGGTAGTGCGCATATGTATAATATCATGTTCTAAATATAATCTAAGCATTCATAAATTCAATATAAGTATACTTTATATAAATTCTATAGACTAAACATATAAAAAAGTAAATAATATATGGATTTGGGTTCATAAATTCTTTCTATCGGGTTCATAAGAAACCCTTAAACATGAGAACGGGTCAAACGGGTTTGGGTATTTATCACTAAACCCAAACCTAATAACAAAAAACAGATCTTAAAAAAATTACCATATCGGTCGATTTTTCAAAGCTAAAAAATAGGCCGATATGCCCGATATGACTTTGATATTTCCGATTTGGCCTTGAAAACCGACATCCGAGTTGAAAACGTCCATGTCGTGTCGGTTAAGCCCTCAAACCGATATGTCGGCCGACATGTCGGACATGTCGGCCGATATTTAAAACCTTGGCACCAGTATAGCTTTTTTTAGTGTTCTCGAACATCATTTTATTAGTCTACATGAGGACCTTAATTAAACTTATGGATCTTGTCAGGATGATGTGAAAAGGAAATGATTAACTTCGCATAAATTAGATTTTCAACACATTCTACGAAAAACATATCACTAGATAAATGAAGAGGAATACAAAGGAGGAAAAAGAACAGCACACAAGGATATGCTTCATAAAGTTGCATTTATGACTAAATAAATTATGAAAAGAACATGCAACTCTGGTCATATGAATCATCATAGGATACTCATGCTTGCGACTCCAGCAAAGTGAAATGTTTTCAGTGTCATCTGTGTCCCTGGTTCTCCTATACTTTGAGCACCAATGGCTCCAATTGCTGCACCTGCTTCAAGCTTCTTTTTATGATAACGAGATATGCATGTCTCCATGAATACCTGATAGCCAATTCATTTGCTGAACTCAATGCAGAAGTTGGACTAAAATAATCAACAAAAAGAAGAACAGACCAGAAGATGGATGATATGTAATGAATATCAGAAACTGGTTTTTTGTGGACAAGCTCCACAAAATCAATTATCAGGTTATCCTTCGGCAGATTAGCATGTAGCCAATGACAGAGAGATTTTAAATGCTAACCTTCAGTTGTTGAGCAGAAATTCCAGATATATTGGCAGCAACGTTTTCCAATACACTAGAAGTTTCCTTATGATCTTCTTGAAGTTGAAGCCGTATTCTTGTCTTCCTCAATTCAGCAACATGCTTATGGAGAAAATCCAATAACAAATTCTTGAAAGCAGAAGAACAACCACCCTCAGGGGTCATATCATACTTTGATAGCCTTTCATTTATAAGGCAAATGATCTCTGAAGGTGATAAAGAGTCTTGTGGTCTACAAGGGCATGTTGCCTGCAAGATGGGAAGTTCATCACCTCTAAAACATAAAGCTCTTTCTAACACCTCAGTATCACTATAGAAAACTGACCATGACTTTCTTGTATAGTTGATCCAAATTTAAGGGAGTGCCATTTTCCCCTTCCATCTTTGCTGGATCCATGCCATCATCCCCATAAATAAACTGAACTACTCCTCCATTAGAACTGCGCACTGTCTGATCATAATAAAGTGAGAGATCTTCCAATGATTTCATCAGTCTACGGGACATGTATCCTGTTTCTGCAGTTTTCACCTGTTTAAATTAACATGTGTGCATTATTTGGAGATATAGGAAATTGGCATTTCCATCAATGTAGAAATTATAAAATTAATGGGGATAAAACTTCATGTTTATAAGCAAAAAAAACCCATGCTATAACTATGGACAATCATCCTAAGGTGTGTAGTACAATAGTACTATGAAGGAACTAACAAAAATAGAAAAGTTTACATCCCTGTGAAATGGGCAAGAGAACAAACTTAACTTTGTCTGAGGATCTTGACTGCCCCATTATCAAATAAAATAGAATCCCTCAATTTACACGTCTAAATTAACCTGAAACTTGTGATTCACTGGTGCAAAATATTCCTTCATCCCAAACTTCTGAAATTAGATACGCTTCCAGGTTACTAGTACACTGGTGCTAAAAAAATAACCCAGAAATTTGAGAAACATAGAGCTACAGATCCGAGTGAATCCTGCTAGATGTATTGAGAGGATTGGTTCATTTAACTTCAATTTTTTTCTGTATGGGCATGAATTTAGAACCTCGTGTTTATATTTTTTTATCAAGTAGTAAATCCAACCAAATTGATAAAATCAAGAAGTTTGAGTTCAAAGGTTTAAGAATAAATTTGAAGAAGAAATCCTTGAATTGCATTTCATCTTGTGTTGGAAATCGATTTAAGATTAACAAAATAATGATAACTCCCGACTGCGTAATTAAAAATCTATGAATTTTCTGTTAGAAGTAGTTAAAGACACATACATAGATCTACTTACAAAAGTCAGTGGACTATAGGATCATGAATGGATTTTTGTGCTAGTAGAAAAATAGGAAACAATCGACTCGAGTTCCTTGAAATAAGTAGAAAAAATAGGAAACTAATGGTGACCTTCGAATGTTTGATAAAGTTCCTTGAGTTAGATGAATTCTAGTGAAAAGAAGAAAATAATCAGAAAAGAAAGTTGCTAAGCTCCTACAGTAACCATAAACTGTTTTAGTAACCAAGGGAAAAGTAGCAGTTGTTATCAGAATGGTAATCCAATTTATTACATGTTTATAACAGATAAATCTATTGGTTGCTTACCCTTTAGTTCGAAGCTCTGTTGCAGCACATGAATGCATATATACTGCTTCTATCTCACAAATCATTCTAGCCTAATTCGGGCAATTCTTTTATAAGGAATAGACCAGGGCATTACTGACATCATGTAAAACGAGAATCAAAGGTTCACAAATTTAGTATTTTTGCATAAAAGAAAGGAACACATTAAGCATGTTCCTTAACAGAACCCTGAGATCTTTTTTGTTATTTAGGTATATGTAGCATTATCATATCCTACCTTATAGATGATAGCGATGGATTCATATAGCCAATGACAATTTTATGTCGGTTCCTCAAGCATATTCACAATTTGGAATATACATTATTTCAGACGCTACATAAGCACATCAGGAACACTTCTGAAGTCCCAAACTCTGTCAATTGCCAAAAGAAAGTATGTTCTCATAAAACTAATTTTTAATCAACATCACCAGGGGCAAGGAGTACTGGTTCTCAAATGTTAATATTGAATTTTCCTATGCAAATCATATTTGAGTAATGTGTGCCCAATCATCATGCATTAGCATATTAAAGCATTATATCATGAAAGCATTAAAAATGAAAACATTTGTCAAATAGAAGTATGACTACAAAAAGATACAAAGATGGTTCATACCGCAGTATCAACAAGGCCTTCCCGTCCTCCCATTGTATGAAAAAAGAATTCAGTTGCCGTCAACCCAGTGTAAAATGAATTAGCTACAAACCCTTTAGCCTGAAAGGAGATATCCACATTATGATTCTAGAATACAATCTTCAAAAGGAGCGTAAAGATGGATAAAAATAGGGGGGAAATTTGATAACAACAGAATATAAGAATATGACCTAAACTCGAACTGGTTAATCTCATAATACATCAAAAAAGCAGATCATATAAAAAAGAAACAAGGCATTGAAGAAAAAGAAATAGATGCAGATTCTTAGTCATTATCAGCCAATTCTTCCTTCAGATATTCAATTTAAAGTCTTTTAAATCAAAGGTGCAGACCTAGTCAACTAATCAGCAGTATCAAAGCAATATGAGTCTTGGAAATCAAAAATGTGAACAAAAATACAATATTTGTTAGTAGATGAAAGGAACAACTTTCTCCTGAGATCACAACTAACTCCCCAAAGTTTGTGGGGGATAACCTAAAGTTTGTGGGGGATACCCCAAAGTTCGTGGGGAACCCCAAAGTTTTGGGAGGATTTGTGAAATATACCCTATAATTGATTTATCAGGCTTAACCCCACGCCTTGAAATTTACACCTCGCTTCATAAAAGGGTCCAACATTTCTCCTCACGCGTCCACTTCTGTGAACATTGCCTAATACTGCTAATGTACTGCACCTGGTTTTGCCAATCATAATAGTTTGCGACTGGCAAATGATTGCAAGCTTCACAGCACACTAGGCCCATGCAGACATGCATCTTCATATACCATAGTTCAGAGCACGGCTTGGAATAATCCACAAGATATGTTATTGTTCATATTTGAAGGCAAATCAAATTTATGATGCATTATACTTATCTAACAAACACATAGACCTAGAAACGTGTTCCAAGATAACATTGATTTCTCTCACTAACAACTGACTACAACATGCGTCAAACAGAAACACAAATAGACCAAGAAACGTGTTCCAGTTATTTTTCAATCAGAACAAGCGGGAAAAAGTTTCCAATTAAAACATATAATGTTAGTCGTGTAATGCTTTAAAAAAAAGGGCCTATAGAGTATTAAAAACTAGATTCTGCAATCAAATTTGTGAAGAATAAAAAAACATTAAAATTAATAGGGTTATCGTGTTAAAACAGATAAATCTTACAGCAGGCGTCTTTGACTTAATTGGAAAGTGAGGAAGTGTGCGATCTATAAATCCATTTGGGGCACGACGGCCGCCAACAGATTGCTGGCCTACACAAGCAATCATTTGGCTGATGTTGATTGCAGACCCCTTGGATCCACACTGTGACATAATTAAAGGACTGTTCCTCCAGTGGAGTTCCTTCATACAAACCTGAAATACAAAAGAAAAGAAATATGTTCAAAAATCAATAATTTAACTAAGAAACAATAAATAACCCTATAGAACACCATTTGTCACTTCGTAGATGTAAAAAAAACTAATAACAAATTTGTCAGGTAATTTACAAATGGAACATAACAAGGTTAGCAACTAGCATATAAAACAAAAAAAAATTGCAAACAGATAAATGTCCTTTAAGGTATGTCTGAATCAAATAGTAAGATTTCAGACAGAATAATCACTGTGCACGAAAACCTGATGCATTGTACCACTATGATGTAATTGTCAAAAACAAGCAAATCATGTATGCATTACATAACGAAATAATATATCATAAACTAGTGTTCGAGAAATTAAGGGGAGATGACAATGCAATCAGAGATCCTTACATCTCCAGCTGTTTTTCTAATTTCATTCAGCACTTCAGTTATTTCAACTTCTAACGTTTCAGCTGCATTGGCGCCAGGCCTCAGTTTAAGTTTTCTGTTCTCATATAACTCTATAAACGAAATGCATCTTCCATAACCATCATCAATTGTCATTTTTTTCTGCTGGTTAAGGCGTTCTCCGGGTTGAACATCATCAATGCCAATAGAAAACCCATGATTTCCAATCCACCGGGCACTGCAGACACATGGGAAAGTTTCACTCAAGCAGAAAATGTAAAAACATGTAGAAGTTTATCAAATATATTTCTGTGAAATTTATTCTTTCTGAAATAAATTGAGATTTACCACTCAAATGATAAAAGTCACTTGCACCAATTTGGAAGTCTGAAGCTTCCATATATATCTTTGAGGCCACAAAATCAACCTCACGAATTACAAGCCAAGACAAAAGCTAATTGACAATCTTAGTAGTCAAAGATAGATACTAAGAGTGTATGAGGGTAGTATACATGTAATATTTTCTTGATTGGCCAAATACCACCCACTAGGTAATTAGCATCCAAGTCCCAGCAAAATTCAGCCATGTGTAGTATACTCGAGAAGACAAAAGGAAAGCATTTAAGCTTTAAAACTACTAGGATGAACAATCAATTACCTGCTGATCATAAATGCATAAGTATCCCTATGATGAAACATCACAAACTCAAATTAGAAGGAGAAAACAACCTGTGGTACCCCTATACCATAGCTGCATGGAACCAATATTGTTCTGGTTTGCAGGACGGGCACTGAAGCATGGCATGACACTCACTAGGAATCAGGTATAGGTATGAGGAGGAAAGGCTTATATGGTGCGTCAGGGAACGTGGTACGCCTAAGGTTTGGTTCTTAAAATCAGGAATCAGAGGTTTTCCAAGAGTCAAATTTAAGAGAGATGCTAGTTGATATTAGTAATGGTAAGAGAACCTTGGGAATCATGTTGCAATTAAGGCGTGCATACTTTAATTGCTTAATTTATCATGTTTTTTGTTGTTTATTCTTTTATAAATGACAATTTTTTTAAAAAAAATTAACTGGTTTGAAATCTAAATCCGGTTGCTGGAGATGGTGAATCGGGTCATGTTCCACACAAATCCAGGATGATTGAACCTAGGTCGCAGTTCACTGTAGCGTCCCACGTTCCCGACTTATATGCCCTATACTAAAGAGGTCCTTGCTGAGAACAAACCTCTATTTAATGATTTACGCATCTTAACTTTGCCGCAGACGCAACCTTTCAGCTAGTGATGTAGATAAATACAAACAATCCAATGAAAATCTAGCATGATTAGGTATATCACGAAGGACATTCCATATTGTTGTAAAACATGGATATGAATATAGATAATAGTAAAATATATGAGATGATATAGATATATTATCAGCCGAATACGTATTGGAGTATGCAAGTACACGACTATTAATGGCGTGCACACTGCCGCCCCAGGCCACCCTTAAACTAGTGATGTGACTAAATAAAATAAATCCAATGCAAATCTAGTATTATCCATTTAAAGTACATGGATATAATAAGAGATAATAGTAAACTATCTGAGACATTAAAATAGATAAATTAACAACCTACAAATATTGGAGTATCTAGGGACATGACCGGTTCATATGTAGTATTGGAATTTTTATAGTCCTTTTCAATGTAAGTGGGGATTTGGATCCTCTTGACTGCAGTTAGGCATGATTTTAAATATCCCCGACATGGCCCGATATGTTGCCCGATATATCCTTATATAGGGCTTGTCGTAACCAATATAGTGTCTAAATATTCTTTACTGCTTTTTTGTCTATTCTGGGCAATATATCCCTGATATAGACAATACATCAGCTAACGTGTTAGCCGATATATTATTTTATATAGCTTGTCGCAAAACAATATACCGTGTTTGCCAATTTTTCAAGTGAGATATCATGATTTTCCTATTATATCAAATGACATTTTGACCTAAAAAACGTCAGACAAAATGTTGCATCGTTGATTTGTACTTTTATTTGTTTTACAAGGTTGCTTAGTGATCCTAAACATGTTATTTATATTCTGTATGCTTAGATTGCATTAAGTATATTGAGATTACATTTTAGACATTATACTATATATGCAAACATCTATTATGACAATCCGATATTTATTGCATATCCCCGATATTCCCCTGATAACCGCAATCTAATACGAATTTTGATCATTCAATATTTTCCTGATATCTAATATTTCAAACCTTGCAGTTAGGTGGTTAGGCAGCGGAGAGTTCACTTCCTCAACTATAGTTGTCTATCGTCTAATGAACAATTATCATGTGTCTAGATAGAAAAGTGAATGAGTACAACAATATGTGATGGTAATTACGTTTCAAATGAAAGGGCATTTGTGATGTAAAAAGCGAACTTTCTAAAAGAGTAGAGGACTCAATTTCAAGAATGGAGGAAATTGACTTTGAAGATTAAATTTAATTTCTCTCTCCAATCATGTCAAATTTCTACGTAGCTAGTGGTCATATTCGAATTAGGTCGGAATCCTCTTTGTCAAAATATGCATATTAAGTTCACTATCAAATTTTACATATTTGTATTCTTTGCTAAAAAAACAACAAAAATAACTATAACCTACAGGTTCTACATAAGTGATTCATTACATTCCTAACCCCTAACAGAAGAACTCCCACATCCCTCATGATGTTCTAAGATCACATCGACTCAAAAGATTAGTCATTAAATCTTCGTAGTAAATGGCCAGCAGGAACTTCCTCACATGTAATGCAGAAAAATGAATACATTGAACACATATTTACATACGTAAATACATAAATACATACACACAGATCCGTACAAATAGGCTTGCCCGAGAGTACTAAAAGGGAATTTTGGGATAGATTAGATGAATTAGTACAATGAATCCCATTTAAAGAGAAATTACTTATAGGAGGGATCTTAATGGACATGTTGGTAAGGATAATAACGGATATGAGAGGATACATGTAGGTTTGGGGTATGACGATAAGAACGATATGGGTAAATCAATTCTAGAGTTTGCAATATCGTATGATTTGATAATAGCAAATACACAGAACGATATGGGTAAATCAATTCTAGAGTTTGCAATATCGTATGATTTGATAATAGCAAATACACTTTTTAGAAAAAGGGATGAACACTTTGCAATATCGTATGATTTGATAATAGCAAATACACTTTTTAGAAAAAGGGATGAACACTTAATAACCATTAAAAGTGGTTTTAATAATAGTCAAATAGACTTTTTCTTACTAGAATTGCGGATAGGTTAATATGCAATAATTGTAAGTTATACCAGGAAAGAGTTTTACACAACATAGATTAATGGTCTTAGACGTATCTATTAAAAATTGGAGTAGAAAAACTAACGTGAACAAAAGACTAAGAACTAAATGGTGAAATTTAAAAGGAGAGAATTTAATATATTTTAAAGATAAGATAATGAAAGAAAATATATGAAACATAGATAATGAGACTAATATTATGTGGAATAGCATGTCTTCTTGTATTAGGAAAGTGGCTAAAGATATACTAGGAGTATCTAAAGGTTGTAGATTAGATGGATAGGAGAGTTGGTGGTGGAATGAGTATGCAAAAAATTATTAGAGAGAAGAAATTTTAAATAAAGAGTGGCAAAAGTGAAGGAGTAGGGAAAACTTAGAAAAATAATAAGCTAGTAAGGAAGTAAAAAGAGCAGTTAGTGAGAATAAATAAAAGGCTTATAAAAAATTTTATAATGAGTTAGAATCTAAGGAGGGAGAGAAAGATATATATAAGCTTGCTAAGATTAGAAAAAGGAAGAGTAGAAATTTGGGTAATATAGGTGTATTAAACGTGTGGATCAAAGAGTTCTAGTGACCGACGGGGAAATAAAAGAGAGGTGGAGGGGTGACTTTTATCAATCATTTAATGATAACCAAATAAGTGAGCAAAATAGAAATTTTGACCATATAGTGAATGATAGAAACTATATATATTGTCATAAAATTAGGATTAGCGAGGTTAAAAATGATCTAAAAAAATAAAAAGTGATCGAGCCGTAGGACCGAACGATATCCCTATTGAAGTTTGGAAATATCTTGAAGATATAGGCTTAGGATGATTAACTAAACTATTTAATAAGATTATCGAGACGAAAAGAATGTCGGATGAGTGGAGGATTAGTATTTTGATACTAATATATAAGAAGAAATGGGATATACAAAGTTGTTCAAATTATCGAAGTATAAAACTCATGAGTCATACTATGAAACTTTGGGAGAGGGTAATTGAGAAAAAACTAAGAAAAGAGACATGTATATATGAAAATCAACTTGGTTTTATACCTGGGAGGTCAACTATGGAACCTATACATATATTGAGACGGTTGATGGAGAGAGAAAGAGAAAAGATCTACATATGGTTTGTATCGATCTATAAAAAGCTTATAATAGAGTACCTAGAGGGGTACTGTGGTGGGTGTTAGAAAAGAAACATGTATCTATTATACATATTGATGTGTTTAAATATATGTATGATAGAGTAACAACTAGAGTAAAAACTAATAAAAGAGAGACTAAACTATTTTCTATTATCATAGGCTAACACTAAGGGTCAGTTTTAAGTACTTTATCTCTTTGCATTAGTTATGGACCAACTTACTAAGCACATTCAGGATGAAACTTCATGATGTATGTTAATTGTTAATGATATAGTATTAGTTGATAAAACTAGAAAAGGCATTATTTTTAAAGTAGAAAGATGGAGACAAGCACTTGAGTCTAAAAGTTTTAGAATTAGTAGAACAAAAACAGAATATATGAAATGCAGTTTTAGTAAAAGTAGAAAAGTAAGAAAACCTATAGTACATATTGATAGCCAAGAAATACCTAAAACTAATCACTTTCACTATTTAGGATCTAACATTAGGTATGATGGTGTGATAGAGGACAATGTTGTGCATCGAATTAAATCGAGATGGTTGAAATGGAGGAGTGCTTTGGGAGTCTTATGTGTTCGTAGAATATCAATGAAATTAAAGGAAAAATTCTATAGGACGGTTATAAGACCAACTATATTTTATGGGTTAGAATGTTAGGCAATTAAAAAATATGTTCAAAAAAATAAGTGTAACAGAAATGAGAATGTTGTGATGGTCTTGTAAATATATACTAAAAGATAGAATAAGAAATGAGTGCATTCGTAGTAAATTAGAAGTTGTGCTCATTGAGGATAAAATGAGAGAGAATAGATTAAAATGGTTTGGTTATGTACAACAGAGACTCCTTAGTGCACCGATTAGGAAAATGATAATATTAGAGTTAATGGGGCTAGGAGATTTAGAGGTCGACTTAGAATGACTTGGTCAGAAATAATTAAGAAGGATATGATTAAGACTAACATAACGGAGGAAACGACCTGTAACACAATGGAATGAAAAAATAGGATTCATGTAGCTAACCCCAAACATTTGGGATAAAAGCTTGGTGGTTGTTAGTTGTACATAGATGCGTACAAATATAAACATATAATTGAGTAACAAAGACAATTGGTGCTCTTGGGTTTGTCAACATTATTTTTTCGAAAATACCC